GTTGCTCAATTGCTTATCGACAAGAAGGCAGACGTCAATTATAAAGCCCGGGTCAGTTAGTCTCCACATCATGTTCATGTTCATTACTTCGTTCATTCGCAAATGTTTATCTTCTCATTAATTTTAGTTCTGTGAATTTTTCAGCAAAAAAAACAAATTCAAATATTTATCTAGTTATTGATGTTTTTGTACCTTAACTATTTTACTGATAACTTCATTTTAAGTAGTTTCATTTCTTTTTATCACACATTCTTCATTTGAACCACTTGCATTGTTTGTTAACCGACGTCGCAATGAAGCCAGCATATGTTATTGAGACAGTTTTCAACTGTTTGTTGTACGTCGTGAGTGAAGCTAAACCAGAAACGACATTTAAAGACAGATGACAGGAGAATGTAACAGAGATTGCCACTGCGAGGGCATCAACTTCCAACCTGTGTGCAGTCAGTCGCAGGTTCAGTACTTCTCTCCGTGTCATGCTGGCTGTTCCAGCAAAATACACAATCCCGAAACAAATATATACGTTTGTCGCTTTTATTTTATTTTTTTAACATATTATTGTTAATGTTTCAAAAAATCTTTATTTCATTTATTTATTGAATTTCTTTCACGAACGACTATTTATCCTCCATCATAATCTCAGGAGTACCACAAGTGCGCCTGCATCAGTGAAAGTGTTGGTAACTATTTGAACACTAGCAGCAGTTACAACTTGACCAACAAACAAGAAGGCACTTCCGACAACATCTCTGCCTTAGTAGACATTGAGGCATTCGGCAAATCGTGTGACCTGCATATATGTAGCAAGGCATTCATTTTCATGCCCATCTTTGCAGTGACCGTTTGCATCGTCTTCATCTGCTTCACCATGAATACCGCCATCATGTTCAGGTTAGTGACTGCTATGGCTGCTAATGCTGTCCATAATAAGCTAATCATGCTGCTCCTGGTTAACTATTTTACAGTTCAATTTGTAAATTTAATGGGGAAAAAATTTGCAAATTGAAAGAACACAGAAGAGAAATCGC